GCTAGCGGCGGTGACCCATTCAACACAATCCTCTACGACATCGCTGCCTTCCGGGAGGCAGAACTCAAAGGCAGCTAATCGTAATCATGTCAAATTTGTTCAATAAGTCAATTAAAATATGTTTTTTCCAATTATTTAGTTATTTTTGGTCTCCGGTAAAAAAATCCCTCTAAAATAAATGGCCTCCGGATAATACCAAAGTACACAAAACTATGCTGTGCTATTGTTAATCTGGTGTAGGGCCTATCCAAACCAGTTCTTCCCCTTGTGCAATAATATGCTAAAAAATGAGGATTTTTTTACAAAAATAACACACTTGAATATATACAAATTTACAGTTGTCAGATCACCTTTTGCTTTAAAAAGAAGTTTACAATGGTCCCTTAACCCTGAATTGGTCAAGAGTGTAGGTATAGCGGCAAAAACAATTGAGGTAGATCATGATCATACATTCTGTAACAACTTAAACACTCCTATTTTTACCCCCTAGAATTTGGGGGAATTATTTGGAAATCTCCCAAAAAATTGGGGGTTGGGGGTAGTTTTTGGAAAATGTTCCAATGGGTGCGTTAAGTGATATCTCTTTTTTTTTTAAAGGTATGTTCACTGAGCATTTTGATGAAAATATTTGAATCTTATCTTTATGGTCATGAACAGGGTGTTAAAAAATTCTGAAATCCAGGGTCTTACAGTTAATTTTACTGAAACTGCCTACATTGTAAGGGAACACAATTTTTATCCCAGAGGCGCCTTTTCCAAAAATACCCCAAAATATACCTCTCTCTACGCCAAAATTAAGACCCTTAAAATGCAGGAAATTTTGAAAAATTTAAGAGCTTACAAGTAAATAAACGCAAATAGCAACATAGGTTTTCTAGTACATCATTAAAAAGGTGTTTAACACATTACCCGCTTAAGACGTCCTCAACCCATTACGAAATAGCGGAGGACGTCCTAAGACGTCCTTGTGTAAGGTTAAGCAAATTGTGTTACAGTTGTCCCAGTTTTCAAACTAGGGAATTGAAACTCTGTCAGCCCTTGGGGGACATACTGTAGTATTACGTCATTACCACCGCTTGCAGATCCGTCGCTCCAGTTGGTGGCGCTCGCGGCGGAATTTTTGCGAACCTTCTAGTACAAACAGAGCAGGTGGGCGGCAGTCCGACACGTGCTCCAGGCGTATTGTAACCTATTCTAGTGCGGTTTTTTGCTACTTTGTGTATGTTTTGTCCATTGTGAGTGTTAGTGATAGTGTGGGATTGTTGGCTTCCACTTCTGGCACTGCAAATGTGCGACGAAATAGTGAAGAAGAAGATGAATATTCTGAGACTACAACTGACTCAGGTGAGTCGGAGTCTGACGATGAAGACCCTATTCATGGAAATGACTATGTACCAAACTGGCAACCTCGCTCATATGGACTAAGGGACCTTCCCTTCACCAAAGAACCTGGGCTTTGTGCTCCACCCCCTGGTTTGAATAGCCCTATTGACTATTTTTTTTTTACTAATTGACGATGTGTTTCTTGAGTATGTTGTGCGTGCCACTAATGCCTATGCTCTTGAATTTTTTTGTGGCCCTAGAACTACCCCTGGCTCACGTATCCACCACTGGAAGGAGCTCACCGTTCCAGAACTGAAGATTTTCGTAGCACTACTAATTCACCAGGGTAATATCAAAATAAACAGATTGCAGGATTATTAAAGAGCTGATGATTTGTTTGACGTAGGTTTCTTCAGAAAGCACATGTCTAGAGATAGGTTCATGCTTATTTATAGGTGTCTACATTTTTCCTTTCATGACGAAGAAAACAGAGACAAACGCCTACACAAAGTCCAGCATTTCCTTGACTATTTCAATAATAAGATGAAGCAGGTATACTATCCCTCGAAAGAACTTAGTATTGACGAGGGTATGATGCTTTGGAAAGGTAGACTAGTATTTCGCCAATACTTGAAAGGAAAATGCCATAAATATGGCGTGAAGTTTTATTCACTTTGTGAGAGCCAAGGACTTACTCTTCAACTGATCATTTATGATGGGTCAGGGGACCAGACAGTTGGTGGAGTAAGGCATGCAGCTAAGGTTGTGATGAAACTTATGCAGCCTTACCTTGGAAATGGCGATGCAGTCTACATGGATAATTATTACACTAGTTTCAGTTTGGCTGCACAATTGCTGGCAAACAAAACCTACTTTACAGGAACAGTCAGGGCAGACAGGAAATTTGTTTCTGAATCCATAAAGGATGCCAAACTAAAGAAAGGGGAGACGACACAGGTGTATGCTGAAGGAGTTTGCTTGGCAAAGTGGAAAGACAAGAGAAATGTTACCTACCTATCCACCAAACATGATAACACCATGGCAGTTAGTAACAACAGACACGGCCAACCAAGAAGTAAGCCTCTGCCCATTGTTCAGTACAATGTGTATATGAAAGGTGTAGATAGAGTCGATCAGATGATGGCCTACTATCCTTCAGAAAGGAAAACAGTAAGGTGGTACAAGAAGGTTTTCGTACACTTTATCCAAGTGCTTATAGTGAATGGGTTGGCCTTGTACAATGCCGTAAATTTTGATAACAAAGAACAGTTGTACAACTACAGGTTGATGGTCATCCGAGCATTACTCCCACCAACTGTTCCTAACCAACTTGTAAGCACGAAGAAAGAAGAGAAAGTGCAGGCAATGCACTAAAGAAAAAAAAAAAAGAACGGAAACGGTGCACTACTGCCCAGGTTGCCCTGACAACCCTCCATTGTGTGCAGTCAGATGCTTTGACATGTACCACGGTATAGTTTGTCAGGGTGTCTACTACATTCTGGATAAAAAATTCATGGACAATTCCCGTACATTTAAGGACACTTTGCCGTAACCTTTGTCGGTGTCATTAGGCCTACCGAATAATTTTCCTGATTTGTCAAACTGTATTAATCTTGTTATTCACTGTAGTTGTACCAGAGAGAAAAGTAAATAATAATAGATAAGAGTTAAAAATAACAAAATAGAAATTTATTGAAAGTAAACAAACATAGGCCTACCTATACTTTAGGTAAAGCTTTTATAGTGTAACAGAGAAACGCAATCATTGTCTCCTGCGATAGCGACAAATATCTCCATCAGTCACGTAAACTTTATAACATAGCTTATCCGATCCAGGCCGATTAATTTGGCATGATTCGCCCTGGCACAACGTTAGGTTCTCGACTACTTTTGAAAAAAAATCTTTAATGCATATTGTTACTCAATTCTTCAAGGTTTGGTAAGTGGCTATTAATAAGCAATAAGCACAGAGTAAGATTATTGTATTTTCATTTGCAAAGTTAATATCGACACATAGCAATCATTAGTTGTTTATCTTAGGCTCAATTACATTTTCTTAATATATTTTACAGCTCTTTCAAGAATCAAAATACCCAGGCCTAGACCTAATTATTTAGGAGGGCCTATATAAACTGAGTAACAAACAATGAGGTTATAATAGCAGCAAAGTCACTATCATCATTCTAGTTCATAAGATTTTGATTGCTTAAAGCATACAACTCAATAAATAAATATATGGGAAACAAAAAACATTGAAACCTGAATAGCCAACAATATAAGACAAAGATACAGAAAATGCAATGACATAATTTGAAACCAAGCAGGCCTACATAGTGATAAAACATTAATGCAAACAACAATGCTTGTGGTTTTGTCAATTGAAAGATAAAATGTCCATAAAAAAGGGGTTAACTTACAAAATAAGACTAGATTATTTACATGTTTAATATGAAACCATAAACAGTTTTATGGCACTAGGCGATCTCCGTGCTGAACAAGTAAGAAGTGAAATTTAACAGCCATTATAAAGCTATTATTTTCAAGATAAAATATGTTTGGGATCTAATAATAATCACCCTAGTAATAAAAAAAGAAGTTGTAAAGGAATAAAAGTGATACAACTTTTATGAGCTAGCTGCTGAGTCAACAGTTAGTTCTTGGAAGTACTTGACTTGACACTTGATTGTCGTGATAAAATATTAATGGGTTTGAGATTGTTAATGGGATTTGTATTGCATAATTACTCTAGTAATAAATTATGAAAATGTAAACAAACATCTGATAAACCTTTTATGCGCTCCTAACCAACTAGCGATCAATAAAATTATGGCCCATTAAAAATTTAAGGACATAGTCTAGCATTTAAGGACAATTCCCGTACATTTCATGGCCAGTAAAAATTTAAGTACAATTCCCGGTTTTCCCGGATTTCCCGGTTGGTAGACACCCTGTTTGTAAACTAAAAAACAATGTGGGTGGGTGGTTGGTGATGTATATATTGTAAATAAATAAGTGAATTTTTTGACATTTCAAGTTTTGTGCGTACTGTAAATTGTTAGACGTCTAAAGACGTCTTATTTTTTTTGTGTTTTTTCAAGCTCATTTGGGTTACATAATGTGATATTTGGACACCCAAGTGACTATAGAGACTAAACCTACAATAGATAGGCTACATACAAGTAAAAATCAGTTTTTATATTTTTAAGTCAACCAGCAAGGCTGAAGACGTCTTTAGACGTCCCAACCTATGACGTCATCATAGAGACCGGAAGTGGCTCAAAAAAGTGTTTCCTCTGCACATCTGACCTTCCAAAACCATAAGGTATGTTAATCATTAATAAATATTTTTAGCCATGTAGCAGTGTATTACAAATTTTTTTAGCAGTCAATGTGTTAAAACAAACTTTCCTACATCTTAAGTTTGGTTCCATCTCCAACGGTTTCTATCAAGCCTGTTTTAATAACAAAAAAAAGCAACATTACAGTAACTTTTCAACAACTTGTTGTTTTATTTATTTACTTGGGTAAAAGAACACATAAAATGGTTAGAATACCTATAAACAAAACCAATACTTACTTGTACATAATTTACTAAAAAATTGAAATAAATTAACTTGTAGATTTTATTAATTTGAAACATACTTAACTTTGGTGGTATAACTAGAACTAACACTCACTTTCTTAATGGCCGTAGAACTTTATCTATTTTAAAAAAGAATTCTTTGAGATTACATTGCTGCTTTTTCTTGTCATCTTCACTCATTCCTTCAAGACTCTTTTTCCACTTGTCACTAAAAAAGAAACACAAACTGTACCATCAATATCATTTTTGAACAAACCTAAAGTTTCTTAATGTAAGAAGTAAATATCGAATCTATACTTATAAAAGTCAAATACCATTCACTGACTCACTGATCAATGTACCTCAAAAGGTACTAACCATAAGAACTCAGGAATTGGCATGGAGATTCACATTAGGCTCTAGGTGTGCAATAAATAAGGAGTGTTTTCAAGAAATTCCATCAGAGTGGCCTCTGAAGTTCCTATATTATCCTTATGTACAAATTATTTGTTTACATTTAAACAGATGGATATTTACAAATATTATACTATTAACTAAACTAAAAGAACAGTTGGTTGTATTGAATTGAAATAAAAATATTTGCATTATTTTGTGGCTTGAAAATTAATTGGTGTTTTGTTTAACTGCATAACACTCTTTTGACTGGGACGGGTGCGTCTTCCTGTAATCCAGCTACTAGGAGGTCACGAATTGTGGATATTTATAGGCATGCACTGTGGTTGCGATACTCTCTGGTGTGGATTAACATCCGCACGAGTGAGTTCTACAACTATCCGCAGTACTATCCTGATAATTAGACCAATTCGTATATACCAAAAGGCAAAAATGTGGTTCGGATTCCACTATAAACTGTAGGTCCCTTAGTTGCCATTAGCTGTATGGGCTATTAATTAACCTGTATCTAGGAATGTCGGCCTTAGTCACTAACAAGACTACAAGATCACGCCACTCATCCTACATTCATCTCCATTCATACTTGGCTTAAAATACGTACTTTGTATGGTCGCCATCTAATAAGAAAAGAAAAAAAAGTAAAAGTTAAATGAATTTAAAAATCAAGATTTACTCAATTTTTTTATGTTTTTAAAATCGGTTTCTCAGCAACTACATAACAGTAGGTATATTATATAATGTGTTCAGAATATCAATGACAAAGGAACGTCAATATGTCAATACAAATATAAGAACTTGAAATTGAAAGTTTTGAAGACCATACAAAACATAAAGTTTAAAACTAAATGTGTACAAAACAACGTTATACCTAAGTACATATCTGTGAAAATAAAAAACAACTCATTTGCAGCAAAAAAGGCAAAATTAATAGCAGAACAATCTTGGTTAAAACAAGAAATAAAATATCAACACTGCAAAAAGTCTATGTTAAATAAACTGCTACTTAAATCTCACATTGAGATGCTTAACCTCATCCATCCGGCACAACTCAGTAATGTCTTGTTTACAATAGAATCACAAATCAGCAGAGATATCCTAAGCAAAAAGAAGGTTTTGAACAAAAAACTAGAATCCCTTTAAAATAAAAAACACGACTTTGATCTTAATAAGGTTAGCCATAAGTTTTACCCAAGGACAATTAACCTTACTGACATAGTTTTTAATCCTGATGAGATGAATTTGCTAAACAAAGGCCTCAAGTATAGTTTGCCTCAAAAAAACATGAAAGGACTATTTTCAGAAATTATCAATGCTGACGCAACAATTCAAAGTCTCAGTGATGCAAATGATCAGAATACAGTCAGAGTAATGGTAAATAAAAAACTGAAAAAAGCAGTAAAAAATCCTAGGAAACTCAAATATAGTTGCTTATATAAAAAAGAAAGCCTAATCCTAAAACATATCCGAGAAAAGATAACAGATAACGACCTTATCATTACAAAAGCAGACAAAGGTAATACTTTAGTGATAATGAACCAAGCCGAATACAATAACAAAGTTTTGGATTTTATTGATAACAATCTAATCAACCAACTACCACAGGACCCGACAGCCAAGTACACCAAAGAGTTGAATAAGGCTTTATCCAACAGTAAGCTTTTGTTAACTGACAGGGAAATCAGAGAGTTTAAACCAATTAATCCCCAAGCTCCCCGCCTAAAAGGCCTACCAAAGCTACATAAAGAAAGCAACCCAATTAGACCCCTGGTTAACTACATGCCCGCTCCCGCTTACAAATTAGCCAAAAAACTAGAATGCATTGTCAAAACACATGTAACTTTAGAAAACAGTCACAGCCTGAAAAATAGTTTAGATCTAATCAATAAAATAAGAACTATCACATTAAACCCAAGATATACGTTAGCTTCATTAGATATAAGTAGCCTATACACCAACGTTCCTATCAGTGAAACACTAGAAATCCTACAAGACAATTTAAAAAATGAATCCAGCTTAAACACAGAGGAAATCAATGAACTAATGTTTTTACTAAGGACCGTATTAAACCAAAATTATTTCCAGTTTGACAATAGATATTACTCTCAAAATGAAGGACTTGCGATGGGGTCACCCCTATCAAAGTATTCTTGCAGAAGTTTTTCTAAACCACATTGAAAATAAACATTTGTGGAAAAATGACAAAAACAAGTACAAAAGCAAAATAATTTTTTATTACAGATACGTGGATGACATTGTGACCTTGTATGATGGTAATAGCAGGCAATTTCAACTTTTCAGCAACTACATGAACAGCTTCCACCCTAAACTAAGTTTCACCACTGAATTAGAAGCTAATAACAAACTTAATTTTTTAGATTTATCTTTAATAAAAAACGAAGAAAATATTTCATTCAACATATTCAGGAAGCCCACAGCAACAGACACAACCATCCATGAAACCTCCCACCACCCTCTAGCACATAAATTGGCAGCTTATTATAGTTTTGTGCATAGATTGCTCTCAGTACCACTTAGTGCCGTAAACTTCGAGAATGAGAGAAATGTCATAAAATATATAGCTGTCAATAATGGATTTAATCCTAACATCATCGACACATTAATCAGCAAACATAGAAAGAAAATTAGTAAAGAGACCGCAGATCCAAAGCCTAAATTAAAAACAGAATTTGTCTCAGTTGAATACGGAAAAAAAATCACCCACACTCTAAAAAATGAATTGAAAAACCATGGAAAAACTGTAGCATTTAGAAGTCCAAAATCTCCTTAAACCTAAAGCCTAACAAAGTGTTAAAAACCTGAGTGACAAATCCGGAGTGTACAAAATAACATGCAGTGACTGTAATAAATTCTATATTGGACAGACTGGCAGACCATTTATCAAGAGGTTTAAAGAACACCTTCCCAAAAATAGTTTAACACAACAATCCAATTTTGCCGAGCACCTAATTAGCAGCAATCACAGTTATTCCAGCCTAAATGAAAATTTAAAACCTTTACACATTTGTAGAAAAAGTCGAGTAATGTCATCACTAGAGCAATATGAAATTTATAGAGCATCTAAAACCAGCCCCCACAACCTCCTGAACGATAAAAGTACACTACAATCCAACATATTATTCAAATCATTCAGGGCCGATTTACCGAATAGGCATGGTAGGCACGTGCCTAGGGCGCGAGGCAATTGATTTTTTTGGGGGGCGCCAATTTGGAAAATGAAAAAAATTTGTGGTTGTTTGCATGCGATTGCGGTAAACTTCTGATAATCCCTCGCGGCCGTGTAGACATCGTAATCGTCTCCCGCATTTGCGGCGAGATTCTTACTATTTTCAGCGGTCAGGTCGTTTAGACATAATTATCGTCTTCCATGATCGAAGCAATATGAGCATATCCCGCGGTCGTGAGGAGATTATCATCGTCTACCGCGAATGGGGCAAAATTCTGATCTTTTCCCGCGGTAGTAAGGACATTATCTTCGTCTTGCGCGATCGCGGTCAAATACTGACCACCCCTCGCGGCCGTGAAGACATCATTATATCGTCCCCCGTTAGTCGTGTGAACATATTAATCGCCTCCCACGATTGTGACAAAATGGTAATCATCTCCCTCGGTCTTGTGGAGATCATCATCCTCTTCCGCAAATTAGGCAAAGTACTGAACTTTTCCCGCGATCGTGTGGCCATTATCATCGTCTTCCGTGATCGCGGCAATATTCTGATCATCCCTCGCGGCCGTGTATAAATAATGATTGTATCTCCCGCGGTCCTGTAGACATCGTAATCGTCTCCTGCGATTGTGGAAAAATTGTAATCATCCCCTGTGGACATATGGAGATCATAGTCTTCCGTGAATGAGGCAAAATTCTGATTTTTTCCCGCGGTCATGTGGACATTATCATTGTCTTGTGCGATCGTGGCATAATTCCGATCGTCCCTCGCGGCCGAGTAAATCTTTATTGTATCTCCCGCGGTCCTGTAGACATCGTAACCGTCTCCCGCGGTCGTGTATACATGGTAATCGTCTCCCGCGATTGCAGCAAAATGTTAATCATGTTCCGCAGTTGTGTGGAGATCATCATAGTCTTCCGCGATCGCGGTAAAATTCTTGCTGTTTCGCGCGGTTGTGTGGACATTATCATCGTCTTCCGTGATCGTGGCAATATTCTGAATATCTCGCGGCCGAGTGTAGACATAACTTAATATCGTCTCCCGCGGTCACGGAAACTGTTGTCATGCGCGATCGCGGTAATTTGAAAACTCCAGGTAGAAATACAAAATTCACACATAATTCCCAGTTCATAAAATTCCCGCATGATTCCCGGATTTCCCGGTCGGTGGTCACCCTTATATATATATATATTGCAAAGGGGCGCTACTATAAGTTGTGCCTAGGGCGCTAACAGGGTCAAAAACGTGCCTGGAATCATTGTTAAAATTAAATGAAACGCCACCTGTAGCTACAAAGGACGGAGACAGGACAAAGGTCAACTCTGCAAGTAACGTCTGACCCCAGTCGAGACTCGACACACGACCGACGCGTGTCTACATGTCCGTAGTAACTAAAATAAAAGTAGGCCTACAGTGTATTTGTCTTTTATTCGTAATGTATATAAGTGTTAAGTTCGTGTACGTGTTTCAAAACTTCAAGACGCACCCAACGGGGAAGATCAAGATCTTATATTAGGGCTGATGATGGCAATTTATTCTGCCGAAATGCATATCCTGTAATAGGACACAGCACATAAGGATCGACTGGCGGACACATAATTTAACCTTTTATTGACAAAGGAACGATTAC